CTTTCCTTAGGATGGCAGGGCTGCGTGCAGGCTCCCTGAGACATATGCGAAGGATAAACAACTGATTTCCTCTTATGAAGTGATTTTTTTTTTTAAGTATTCTTCAGCATCCAGGATAATAAGGAGTAGGATGAGGATATTAAGAAAAAAATAAACAAAAGGCAGTAAGTAGGGCCATGGAGGGGAGAAATGGGGAGGAGGCATGGGGAGCAGTTTTTGGTACTGGTCACTGCAGGAGTCTGAAGATACAACGTTTCTATAAGATGACTTCTGCAGCCTGGAATTTGCATTGTTAATTTGTAGACCTCTTGAGGGAATGGTCTTGTGTGACGTGGTTGGATAACAGATAAGCACTATGTTAAAATAGAGCAAGACTGGCTACATGGTAATTAAATCAATATGATTAGGAAGAATTTTGTTTTACAGATTCCTGGAGAAATAACCCTGGAAATGTTTCAAAATAAAAAAAAAAGGGGGGGTCATTTGGTTTAAGTTCATCTGACACAAAAATTAAAGAATCTTTGGCAGCGGTATGAAAAAAAATTATGTTCTATAAAAATAAATCTTGGACGGTATGTAACTGTTAGAATTCTTTAATTTCCACCCCACAGGAGCATTTGTTTGGTTCTGAAAAGATTTAAATCAGAGCAAGCAACCAGGGCATGATGCTTGGTCTTTGGAAACTAAGTATTAAGAGCTCTTGAAAGCTCCACCAACATCTTTACCCCAATTTGGGGAAGAGATCCTGAAAACGGAAGAGATCACCTTAAAATAATTCTTTTTTTTTTATATACATGTTTTTGTCTTAAGGTTTTATTTAAGTGATCTCTACACCCAACGCGGGGCTCAAACTCACGACCCTGAGATCAAGGGTCGCTGGCTCTTCCGACTGAGCCAGCCAAGGGCTCCACATGAAAATAATTCTTGAATGCATAGGATGAATACCAACAATACTACAGAATTAACTATGTTCTAAATGTATTACTTAACTATCTTCAAAGGCACTCCACAGAAATGAGGAAGGGGCAGAATGATCAGCTGTACTCTCTTGATGAGCAAAGGGGCACAGTAGAGTTAAATAACTTCATGCAGGGTCCTTCGGTAAGGAAAATTCAGAGACAAGACCAGTTGACTGTGTGTCCTGACAAGATGGACTCATTCCTAGTCTTGATTAGTCTTAGATGGCACTAAATTTTGGTGAAACTAAAATTATTGCCCACCTCTTGTACTCAGTGTATTGAAATCTGTTTTCTGGAACTGTTGGCCAAAGGAGCTCCCCTAGATGGGGCAGGCAGGACCCAATATTAGAGACTTTTGGGGATCCAGTGAGTTGACTCAGGAAGCTGGGTGATTGGTATTGACTTGATCCTAACTCCACTCTGTCACGAGATGCAAGTGGTTCAACTTTGACAATATTCCTGAAGTGTGTTCAATGTTCTTTATTACTTTTTTAATGCTTATTCATTTTTGAGAGAGAGACAGAGTGCCAGCAGGGGCGGTGCAGAGATGGAGGGAGACACAGAATCTGAGGCAGGCTCTAGGCTCTGAGCTGTCAGCACAGAGACCGACGTGGGGCTCGAACTCATGGACTGAGAGATCATGACCTGAGCCGAAGTCGAACACTTAACTGACTGAGCCACCCAGGTGCCCCTCAATGTTCTAACATGAAGGAAAATTCATTCTTTCTCTACTTTTCCCTTAAATGACTCCTGAGTTCTAGTTAACGTTTAGGAAAACCTGGTTGTAGTGTTATTGAATTTGCATGTTTTTAAATGATAAATAATGAGTTTTGATTTTTCTAACAGGTTATCTTGCCATCCTTTTCTGAGAAAGATGCCCAGTGTAAAATAATTTTAAGCTTATGTAAATGCTTATGTAACAAATAGCATTAGGCCAAATTGTCCTTATAGCCTGAGGTTAATGCTGTAACCTAATCTAGTTTAGCCAAAATGACTTAAGAATGTTGCATATGGTTTTTAAACTCTCTTGTCTTTGTTATATGTGAGTGTGTGTGTGTGTGTGCAGGGAAAAACAGAAAAAACATAAATCTTATAGTGAGTAAGAATGTAATTTCTATGACATGTAATATAGAATATAAAAATTGTATAATTTGGTGTTATTCTCTTCTAGGACCATGAGTCAAGTGCTGTTTGAAAGTAATGATTCTGAAAACATTATTGTTACAAGTCTGGGAACTCCTCCACAAGAATTCAATTAACCTAAGATTTTAATTTGAGTTAGATTTTAGGTATAACAAGAAATGTCTATCTATTGTTTTCTTTAGTTCATGAGGCTCTTTCTTCAAATTCTCTCTCAAAAGTTTTGGAGAAACAGTTTGGCTCTCAAGCAGACATCCTGAACAATGTTAAGCTAGTAATTAGCTCACGTTTCTAAAATAATCCCATTCACGTACACTAAAGGGTCTGCTTCTATAGAACTTCAACTCATCCAGGGAGAAATACTATAATAATAAACGTTGGCATCCAAATTGAAACAGCATGAGGCTCCCAACAAATGTTTATGAAAACATTTGTTTTCTTATAGTTGGTTTAATCTTAAAATTTATGTCTTTGCCTGTGTACAAGGACAGTGTGTTTGGGACTCTGTTACTACCCCCACCTTCTGAAAACCAAACACACATCTGAACCCTGGCCCCACACATGACAGGACTCAGCAGAAACAGGCACTGTAATGAGAAGTCAGGACTTTTCAGGTATGTCACTCTGAGACCACCCTACTAGAGGAGGCCCTCAGATCACAAAGCCAAGGTCCCTTATGGAAACCCTGCTAATTAGACACGAATAATGGATTGAAGGTGTAAAATTCACCTCAGCTCACCACCAGCAGACTAAACAATCCAGATGACGAGAGAAAGATTTTGTGAGAAGGAGGAAGAATTCATTATAAGACTACCAGGAAGCTTGTAAAAGCATATCAGCTTTGACAAACCTAATGAAATAACAATGACTATTTTGAAATGAAGGGCATTAGATCTGAGTGAAATCCCTAGACAGACACCATTATGAATCATTAGAATGCTTACTTTGTGAATTAACGTTAGTTTGATTTTTGTTCTTAATATTGCCAACTTCAACCACCACTGAAGTGCCTGTTATTTTTTTCATTCATCACTTTGCTTTTCGCAAAGAGGACATTCGTTTCATATCCAAGGAGGAAAGGATCTACAACGTATAAATAGGTGCTTCTCTTATCGTGGAAGAAAATGATACGCCAAGAGACCATTTAGGACTGATCACTCTTTTTTTTTGTTCTGTAGTACCAATGTTAACTTACACTTTTCTCAAGAAAGATAGTGTTTTGTGGTATGGGAAGAGGACAAAACTCTCTATTTTGTTTTCTGGGGGAAAAACATACACTATAACTTACAGATAATATTTTAAAGTGTAAATTTGCTTTTAGCAAACTTTTTAGATATTGGAATTTATTCTTCTAAAAGAGACGTGAGGGACGCCTGGGTGGCTCAGGTGGTAGGGTGTCTGACTTCAGCTCAGGTCATGATCTTACAGCTTGAGGGTTCAAGCCCCACGTAGGGCTCTGTGCTGACAGCTCGGAGCCTGGAGCCTGCTTCGGATTCTGTGTCTCCCTCTCTCTCTGCCCCTCCCCGCTCACTCTCTGTCTCTCTCTCCTTCAAATATAAACAAACATTAAAAAAAATTTTTTTAAAGAGATGTGAAATTTGGGAATTTAAATACGCAAATGGGCTCAGGAAGATAAGTTAATACAGAAAGATTTTGAAATTCACACCCTGGTGGAGCTAGAGTCTGGCAACAGTGCATTCAACGGTAGTGGTATTTGAGGACACCTAGGTTCTGTAACAGTTATTTCTGAACTCATGGCTAATATCTATTTGACAGTATATAATTTTATCAGCTTCTGATAGTTCCGACTTATCCATGAAATTAAGAACTGACTAATTATGATTCAAGATAACAATGTTGTGATGTGTCGGTGGAAAAGAGCAAGGGGGATAAATATGTTATTTAAAAGATTAAACATTCGGGGCACCTGGATAGCTCAGTCCAACTCTTGATTTCAGCTCAGGTCATGATCTCATGGTTCTTGAGATCGAGCCCCTTGTTAGGCTCTGCACTGACAACTTGGAGCCTGCTTGGGACTTTCTCTCTCCCTCTCTTTCTGCCCCCTCCCCCGCTCATATTCTCTGTCTCTCTCAAAATAAATAAATAAACATTAAAAAAATAAAAATTAGGCGTGCCTGGGTGGCTCAGTCAGGTAAGCATCTGACTTCGGCTCAGGTCATGATCTCGCAGTTCACAAGTTGGAGCCCCCGCGTCGGGCTTTGGAGCCTGCTTTAGATTCTGTCTCTCTCTGCCCCTCTCCTGCTCATGCTCATGCTCTGTCTCTGTCTCTCTCTCTTTTAAAAATAAATAAACATTAAAAAAAATCGAAGATTAAACATCAAATCTTCCTCTTGCTGCGGTAAATGACAACATTTCTTTCGTTTCCATTTGTTTAGTCACATTAGCCTGCATGACAGCTGTGAGCTTCCAGATAGTTTTGAAATGAGGCTCAGATGTTGAAACTGCCAAATAGCTTATCTTGATTACCTGACAAAAAAAAAATCATACTGAATAGCTATAATGTCTGCCAATATGTTTCTAGTTTTCTAGAGAGAAGAGGAAGGTTTATTGCTTCCAACATGAAAGCCAATACCTTTCACATTTGGGTCCTCTTCTGGCGTGTAACTGAGGATGCTGATTCCACAAATCAAATGCTGCTCTCCGATGGCAACAAGAATGACATGCATATGTGGACACAATGGGGCTTATAAAGTTCAGCAGGGTCAAGTCTAGCCCTCATAGACTGGAGTGGAGGGTTCTCCCAGGATAGCACTTGGCATATGGACAAGGCAGAGTGTTCATCTTTGTTGATTGCTAATTGCAATTCATCGTCCTCAATGTGAAGACACTAAAACAACTTGGACAAACTACTTGACTTAAAGGAATATAAAAAGATCTCACCTTTTGGGATCTACAATTTTGTAGAGTTTTCCATTGTGAGTCTGGGTCATACTTTTACTACTTGATAGAATGTAAACTTCACCTGTGAAAAGTGAAATACAGTAAGTTAATTTACAGTATTATAAAGCCTTACTTCCTATTGTCGAAGCAGATTATTTCATATAAATAAATAGATATTTTGTTTTATTTATTTATTCCATTTGTTTAATGTTTATTTATTTTTGAGAAAAAGAGAGTGAGACAGAGTGTGAACAGGGGAGGGGCAGAGAGAGAGGGAGACACAGAATCTGAAACAGGCTCTAGGGTCTGAGCTGTCAGCACAGAGCCTAACATGGGGCTCACATCCACAGACCATGAGATCATGACCTGAGTCGAAGTTGGCTTAACCAACTAAGGCACCCAGATGTCCCAATAAATGGATATTTTATATTTATTTTTGTATCTATGTACATATGTATATATGTATGTGTATGTATATGTGTGTATGTGCATGCGCATGTATATGTCATGTATCTGTATCTCTCTATATATCTCCTCACAGCCTCAAGAAAATCACTTGCCTAAAGATTATGAGAGTCTCTGGGGCACGTGGGTGGCTCAGTCGGTTAAGCATCCGACTTCGGCTCATGTCATGATCTCACAATTGGTGGATCCGAACCCCGTATCAGGCTCTGTGCTGACAGCTTAGAGCCTGGAGCCTGCTTCAGATTCTGTCTCTCTCTCTCTCTCTCTCTCTCTGCCCCTCCCCTACTCTCTCTCTCTCAAAAATAAACATTAAAAAAAAAAAAAGATTATGAGAGTCTCACAAGTCTACTTTCACAGTGCATCCAGAATTCAGTCACTTGTCTCCACATCCTACTACTGCAGATACCAGTGTGTCCTGGATTAGGGCAGGAGCCTCCTAACTGATCTCCCCGCTTCTCCCTTGTTCTTCCATGTTTAATTTCAACATACCATCCACAGAAAATCCTTAAAGCAAGTTACATCATTTAAGTTGGATCACGTTCCTTTGTTTCAGTATTTCCAATGGCTTCTAATCTCTCTCAGAGCAAAAGTAAGTCCTGGCAGTGGCCTATGATGCCTCCCCTTATTGCTCTGACCTCATATGCTATGCTTCACCCTCTTGGTCACTCCTTCCTAGCCACAGTGGCCTCCTGGCTTTGTACACATGAGGCAGCACCTGTGCCATTGTCCTTTCCAAGGGGGCCCCCCCCCCCCCCGAGTTTCAGGCTCTTCGTCAGGCTCCTGACTCAGTTCCTATCTCAGCTTCTGTTCCAGGCTCTACCTGTCACAGCATCTGTCCCAAGTTGTCCAAGCCTCCTGTCCTTCACTAGATCTCCACTAGGTTGGCTTTTCTTTCCCCCTTCAAGTCTGTACATAAATATCATCTTTTCTGACTGCACTATTTAAAATTGCACTGCTCCCAACCCTCTTCACAATGGGACTTTTCTCCAAAGCATTTACCAGTTGACACTATATATAGATAGATATGTCTCTCTCTCTCTCTTTGTATATATATACACACACACACACATATACATATGTGTACACCCAACATGGGGTTCGAACCCACGACCCTGAGATCAAGAGTTGGATGCTCCTCAGGCTTTGCCAGCCAGGTGCCCTCTTAAGTAATCTCTACACCCAACGTGAAGCTTGAACTCATGCCTCCGAGATCAAGAGTTGGATGCTCCCCCAACTGAGCCAGCCAGGCACCACCATAGGGCTCTTAATTAAAGCCAAAGAGTATCACATTAAGGCATAATTCAGTGAAAGCCAGTTTAATTTTAATTATAAAGTATATACGATGCTGTAGCTTTTGACAGTAAGGATTGTATATGCTTCATTTGTTAGGTCTACTCCCAACATAGTATTAAGTGCAGATAGATGTTTGGATATTTTGACCAACGGTGGTGACACTAACAGGATGATTGATGGTGAGTCATTTGCAGTAAGGTCTGGGGAACTCAGAATGATTCAGTCACAACATCTAAATATTCATTTGTAACTCTGCCACAAACAATTTAATCCTCATTTATATTTTAAAACCAGGGTTTGCCAATGAAATTTAAATTACATTACAGAGTATTTCAGTGGAAAAGGGTATCTCTTTGGTTTTTCTGAGCGGGCTAGGAGATACCAAGGGAAAATTAATTGTAAATGTTTTTAATGTTGGAACAAGAAAAGAACAGATTGGACTTCTCTTCTTTAAATCACTGTATTCCTGTGGCTCTGAAATCCATGTTAAGTCCCTTGTTAAACTAAGTGAATGGCATAAAACTATTTACTTATGAATTCCCCATTTGATGTAATAAAACCAAAGCTGGACTTCTAGAGAAAATATTCAGATTCAGATGGGAAACACAACTCTTCTTTCTTAACACCTAAAATTCATCTCTCAGCCTGGGGGAGCATAGTAGCCATGGTTTGCCATGGTTTGGGTGCTGACCTTTAAACAGTGTCATTATGAAAGCTATGTTTATCTCTATAATTTAAAATCAGTAGCATTTTTTCTCTTTGATCGCATTCCAGTTTCAACTTCTATTTGCTTGTAAGTTACATACATTTTGATAAAATATGAACAAACGTGTTATCCCATAGATTGTCATTCAGAAGATCATTTTTATTCTGTTGGAAAGCAGATCTAAAACTTCAGCTTATCTTACACAAATTGCATGTCCCAATGGATTAAAAAAAATCAGAAATAGAGGATAAGGTGAGACTCAGATTGCAACAATTTTTTAAAAATTTGTTCCAAGAGACATGGAAAGGCTTTCAGATAGAGAATAGAAACAAATGACAGAGCTTTACTTAAAGTTTAAGTAGATATTTAAGATTTTCTCTCTTTAGGACTCAAAAATTCTCTTTTGTTCTTGCCTTCCATTTTCCTGCTTTGTTACTTTTATATTTCTGGAGTGGAGATAAGACTAAAAGATGCCCAGGGAAAGCTCATTGGGAAAGAACACGTGACTGGACCATCTCTAACCTCCACAGTGGGTCATCTTTGCTGCAGGTTACCATTGTCAGCAAATGGAGGACAAGATTGTTCTTCTTATTAAAACAAAGCCTCTTGGGCAAGGGAGTGAGAAAGCAACTTAATAGAAATGGTTTGTACAGTACCTAATTCATCTTCTCCAAATCCCAAGATGTGACCTGAAAAGTAACCTCTACAGGAACCACTGTTGCCGAGACAGAGTGGTTTTTCTTGCCATTGCTTGCTCACGGGACTTTGCTGGAGGGTTAAGAAATTCCTACAACAAAAACATACCGTAAACTTACAGTGAAAATAGGCGTTTGCTTAAAAAAATAAATAAATAAAAGGCTTAGAATAAAGTTCACAATAAATAATTGTTGTGCCATGAACCTGGCTTCTAAAAGGAAAAGTAACATAGCCCATAATGTGTGCAAATACTCTGAAATTCTCATGTAGGGAGAAAGTACTTAAAGATAATATTTTGTTTGGAGGGGGGCACTAAAAGTACCTGAGTATGAGAAAAGCCCTCCCCTTCATCCAGAGAATGATACTTCCTCTCCAGGACTAGACTCCATGCTGTGCTATTAATCAGAGAGAGGGACAGGGGGAAGATCACGGGGTCAGTACACTTTTCTAGTTCCTTTTAGTGACCAAGCATATCAGCTCTGCCATATGCCTGAATGCCAGTGACTCGGGAAACAAGGTTTTTAATTTGGGTTTCATCACAGAGTTCCTTCTAATTATCTACAATGTGACCTCTAAAAATTAGGCTAAAATGTAACTTTGTAGTATTCTTACCAATAAAGACAAACTGAGTTCTATTGTTAAAAGTCCTAAAAAGTATGGCAAAAACAAAAATTCTTAGCCTTCCAGTTTCCAAATAATTTGGAAAATACTTGCACAACTCGTGTATAACAATAGTTTTCAAGTAACTCATTATCATGGTAAATTTATGTTAAGGATGAAGGGAAAAGCTTACATCATATGCAAAGTCCATATGAAGACCTCTCTGCTCTTAAAAATTATATTATGAATTTAATCAAATTTGTTTAAAAAGCATCTCTTAGGAAGTTCTTCAACAAAACCACCATAGATAATGAACTAAAAGAAAATAATAGTCTTTATGTGTGTACCTGACCTGCCCCCAAAGGGAGACAATCATTTGAATATTTTATGGCAGTTTGCCCACTAATTGATGGATATGTCATTTGATACATGAAATTATGGTACCAGGAAACCTACCCATTCCGGTCTCCAAACACATAGCTTCCATACAGTCTTTCAGACTGGCATCCTCGGTAAACAAATCCACCCACCAAAGGACCATTACTGAATGGCTTGAATTCTAAAAGTGATGGCTCACTTTCTGGAAAGAAATAAATGTAACATTAGATCAAATGAAACATACTTTTTATGAAATAAAAGTAATGTAGGCCAAGTAATACTATTATGGTCATTTATTTTACATTTGAAGTATGTTCCACAGTACACAAGCAGAACCCTTGTTGTAGATATTTAGTAGAAATAATTCCCGTTGCTTAAACCATATCAAATATTGAGACTCTCCATGTGCATCGTACTGAAACGGGAATGCTCTGTGAATGCTTTGCTGTTATAATTGTCACACATACCAAATTTTCAGTGACATTAGAATCTGGATATTGTGGAAATCATGGTTATTTACTTAAGAACCAAAGACTTTTAAAAAATTATAATTTTTTTGTGTTGATTTTTTTTGTAGAAATGCTTCTGCATATATGTAGTAAATTAATCCAGACTTCTGTCAAGTTATATAAAATGTTGGAGAGTTCATATTTTAATGGAAATAAAAGGTCCTTAAAACCGCATTTGTATATTTAAAAACATTATCACTCAAGTAATATCTTCATTTAAACTATTTTAAGAGTTTTGTTTATAGAGTTGTATGGTTAACAAAGTCTATTGCAGCCATTCTTTTTAAAATTACATGTGTATAGTCACATATCTTAATCTTTCCATGCATGCCATTGTATACTTGAATTCATGTACACTAATTGCAATGGAAAAGATCTAAAGCCAGTTGCAAATTAATCTGAAAATTGCTACTTATGTGCTTAATGTCAAATAAGTCACTATCAACAGGCAGTATTTTAGGCAAAAACTTTGGTGGAGAGACAGTAATTTTAAAGTAATTGTCCCTTCCCATGTAATTAGGGTGAATATATTATAAAAAGTAGGAAAGATTAAGTTTTAACTAGTGCACTGCAAGGAAGCATAACTTCCAGGTCACGAACTCTGGAGTCAGTCAGCTTGGGTTTAAATCCAGGCCCTGCCACTTACGTTGTATGATAATTAACCTTTTTGTGTCTCAGTTTCCCCATCTGTACAATGTGGCCAATAATAGTGCCTATCACACGGAGTTGTTCCGTGAATGAAATGAATCAAATTTATAATGTTACTACAGGGGCTGGCATGTAGTCAGTACTGACACGTGGTTATTTTGTTCTCGTTTCTGTTTTCTGCTTTATTGAAGTAAAGATAACAAATAAAATTATAAAATATTTAAAGTATACACTGTGGTGATTTGATATATGTATACATTGTGAGGGGATTCTGTGGATGTGTTTTGAAAACATAAATATAAGGCTATCAATATTGTAGCCAGTTTCAGCTGAGGCCCAATTAATGTGATTAGAGAATTTAGTTTAATCTACAAATATAGCCAAAATTCCATCAAACTAGTGACTCATGAGATTTTTTTCCCAAACCACATTATTCTTTGGTTTGGCTTTTATAAGATGTGTGTGCGCGCACACATGAATACCTGAAAAAAAAAATAAAGTAAAATAACTGAATACCACATGAACTAACACAGCTGCTTCATTCCTGGTGCTAAATAAATATCTGTATTGAATGAGTAAATAGAAGAAGCAATCAATTTAATAATCTTAATCTACTGTGTTCCCTGAATCATAATAATTTTGATATATTGCTTCCTCCAAAAAGAGTAAATAATAAAACACTGAAAAATATTAAGATTTTTGGACTTCATTATTATCCAACTTTATTTTGTATATATATCTCTAAAACATTCTAGTAATCATGTTAGTAAAAGTAATGTCTAAACATTCCATTTTCATGACGTGGGTAAATAACATGTTTTTACATGTCAATTACTTTGTTTTCTTCTACAATCTTAAAGAAATTACATTACTATTTGAAACACAATTTTTCTAATTGTTGAGACTAGAATATTGGGGATTGAGGAATTTCTTACCTTTAACTTGTTTTTTTCCACTGTATATAAGATGTTATGACAAGTTCTGCCTTATATTAGAAGTTACTCATCTTGACTCTCAGAGGAGCAAAATATAAACAGCTAATTTTTGAAGGTCCATTAAATTTTTTGCACCTACAGAGCACAGTTTAATCCATTGGAAAGATAATTACCCAAATGGAATTCCTGGGGCTCATAAGAGTCACTGGACCTTTAAAAACGTGTGCAATTTACTCGCTTACCACTGTTGGGTCAGTGTGTTTATTCCTTCCCAAAAGCTCATTTTGTAGAAATCCTTTTCTCTTCGATGAATATGCTAAAGTAAAACAAAGCCCGAATTAAAGCCAAATCAACAAATTATGTTCTACTTACCATAGTCTTTCCCCTTTATTATCTGTAGGATTCTGGCTGATGATCTGTTCTTTCCATTGGAGTCTGAACAAAGTATTGTTAAATTGATGTTTATATCAGTGGGATGTCGATCCACAGCACATCTGCATAACAAAAAGGAGACATCCATGAATTCCTACCAGGGTATTTTCTAAACTGAGACTGGAGATTCCTGACAGAGGAACCCCTTGGTGGGCTGGCAAGGACCCTATGGGCTATTTCCTTTGGATCCTCAGCAGAAACATCCTGATTTGTTTGTTCACTCTGCTGAAGCTAAATGATCTCTGGAGAGTATTTCCTAATATTCCTTGGTATCTCTCGCTAGTATGAACATACACACTGACTTGAAACATTTGTTGGTGCTGTTATTAAGGACTATTGCATATATAACATGCTGGGAAGGTAGGAGAACCTTCAGCAGCAGCAACTCACATCTGCAATACACAAAACAGTCTTCGTTTTGGTGTTTGTTTTGTGTTTTTACATGGAATGGCTATATTCTAAAGCTCAAGCTGCAAAGCATGCACTACAATGTAAGGTATAAAATAAAGCTGGTCCCCACAACCACTGAAGTCTTTTATGTTACATTGACTGTGTCTTCACGTCACCCCCAATCTGGGGTTAGAATATTTCCATGACTTAAGCCACCAACTGTCAACTCCATTAGCGCAGGGATGCCTTCCAACTTCTTTATCACTGTGTTTCTGTTACCTAATTCAAACCCAAGAATATCAAAGGGGGTCAATATGTGTTGAATGTTTAAGTCAATGAGGGACTGGGCATATGGAGTTTGGGTTGCGAGAAGAATGAAGCTGTATAATATAATTACTTCTGAAGTTCTCACAAATGTGGAAAATACTGTTGCTTTGTTTTCAGGTTTCTCAACTTTGACATTCTTGACATTTTGAGTCAGACCATTCTTTGAGCGGGAAACTGGAAGGAGGAGGTTGTGTCCTGAGCATGTACAACGTTTAGCAGCATGTCGGTGGCATGAACCCCTCCTCCAGAGTTGTGAAAACCAAAAATGTTTCTAGGCATTGCCAAATATTCTCTGGGGGCAAAATAATCCCATTGAGAATCACTCCTTTAGGTCAACAAAATACACTAATGACTTAACAACCAAACCAAATCTTTGGGGCTACTAAATAAACTAGAAAACAAAACAACCCGGGAGTAGGTTCTGGGGCTTAAGACATGTTAAGAGTCACACACAGCAATCATCTCAACAACAATAACAGCCACAAAATAAAAACTGTTGCATCCAAATGATCCCATTCATAATAGGGAAACTCTAAGCCTGACCTGCCAAAGATGAGTTAGTTGTTCCGTGGCAACGGTCCCTTTATTGTCTTTAATTCAACAATTCACAGAGTACAATGCCTGGCAGGGAACATGACACAGACGTGATGTGACTTAAGGTGGAACTAAATCCATGGATGGGGAGAACATTTTCCCATCTTGCCTTTCTTTTTAAGATGGAGGAACTATGACAAAAGAAGGTTTGACCACTTTCTATCAAGAAAAGAACAAATCTGGAAGAAAAGGCCAGGTCTCCCAAAGGTGGAGATGCCGGATGCCATCAGGCCTACCTCTGTCTGAATACTATGTCCACTGGGAACCACTTGACCTTTCTAACCTTTAGTTTCTTTTCAGAAAAAAAAAAAAGAGGTGGGTACACATGGGTACTGGTCCTTATACATCTGTCCAAGTCCACAGAACATACAATCCCCAGTGAACCCTAATGTAAACTTTGGACTTTGGGTGATAATGATGTGTCCATGTAGGTTCATCCATTGTAACACATGGAATACTCTGGTGGGGATGTTGCTAATGGGGAGGCTGGGCATGTGTGGGGGCAGCGGACATGTGGGAAATCTCTGTACCTTCTGCCCAATGTTGCCGTCTTTAAAATTGAAGTCTTTAAAAAAAAAAGAAAAAGAGCGGTATCTAATGTCAGCAGGACCTCAGAGTACTGCTGAATGTCACAAATGAGATAATGTGTGTAAGATACTGAGTTCAGCACTCTGCCCCAAGGTACTTAACACAAGTCAGCTTTACTTTTAGCCAAGAATTGTTTTACTTTCTTTTCTGCTTTACTAAATCTTTCTCCGCTTGAGATACTCTTGAAGGGAGGTGCAGATTCCCTTAAGCTCTCTGCTGCCGGAGGAGGTAAGACTCTACAGCATAGGCATCCTGCCATATGCAAGGTCTGTAAAGTGCCTCATCCTGTGTTTTTGCACTGAGGGTCCAGGACCCCTGGAAGGTTGCACGAAAGCTCCAGTGGGATTGTGGTGACTCAGGCTGCTCAACTTCAAAGTGCTGCTTTGCGGTGGTATCTGCAAGTTCTGAGCTATAGGAATGGAATGTGACAGTTTCCTCCACATCCTGAACCCACCGTAAGTACTCCCTGTCGCACAGATTTTAAGATCTGCTGAGATGCCAAAAAGGAAATGAACTGTAGACTTGGACTTTGATGGAGGGGAGATGAAGGGCATGAGGGATTATAAAAATAAAAAGTTCGAGAAATACTCACCTTGCACATAGTGAACACTCAATAAACATTAAATAGCAATAATAACTTAGCTAGTAAATGAATGAATGTGGCCAAATATCCCATAGTATGAATAAGAGACCACAGATTGGATGAAGCTTTCATCACAGAATTGCTATATTATACTGCATAGCATTTTTAAGTGTACCCCAAATTTCTCACTCTACATACATCTCAGTGTTCCTTTCTTTATAGTTCATTGTAGTAAACGGTCAGTATGAATTCCTTTGCTACTTGTAATTTTTTTTTCAGGTGGAAAAATGTGAACATTGAGCTCAACTCCTTACAAACTCATACTGCATCATCATATTTAAGTGAAGCTGTAATAAGAAACACAATTTATTTAAAACCTATCAGGTGTGTCGGGCACTCTGCTTTTTTTCTAGATTTTCATTTAATCATGACAGCATCCTCAAAAGCTGTTACCACCCCCATTCAGTGTGTGTGGAAAATTTCATTTAGAGGGGTTTAAGGAGAAAAATTAAAAAGTTTATCATCTAAATCTGAAAAACGGAACTCTTAATCATTACACTAGTCCAATAGTGTTTAAAAACAACACTCTAGAACTTTAAGGCACTTTTCCTCCATGAATTTGTTCTCTTCCATATGTCTAATCTGCCGTCTCAATCTGCTTCACACATTAATAGAAGAAAGAGTGCTGAGATAATGAGCTGGTGTGATTTTACAGGTGCAACCTTGGACACCACCCGTGGCTGCTCGGTGCCTGGCCCCCCCTCATTCTTTTTCCAGTTCCCGAATCCTGGCCGGGCTCGGGTTTATAGGAGGTGCGGGGTGGTGGGGGAGGGGGGCAGGTCGTGTTCTCACCTGCCTGGATCGTGCAGGCCGTGCGCAAACACTTCCGGGGGCTGGTTGGTGCTGTTGAAGTGCGGATTACTTCTGGGGATGGAATAAGGCACGTTGCACATATCTGTGTCCACGTCCAGCCGCAGCACCGACCCTGTGAAATCACTGAGAAATTGGACAAAGAGGGTCAGTGTTTTCTGCTTTTGTTACATAGTTTACCTAACCTAAATGTGGGAAGGTCGCTCCACAGTCAAAAGAATCATTCCCCCAATTTGAGACAAAATTATTAAAGTTATGAATTCCATATCGTGGGGAAAGGAAACAGGGGCAGTTTGGTTTCACACAAATGGCAGCACCTTGACACAGCTGAGTAGTGGCCGAGGACTGCAGCATCAGTAGCGTGCTACATTTTGCAGCTGTTCCTTAGTTTTTGCCAATCCCTGGATTTTCTGCGCCCCCAGAAGCGCCACTGGACCTTGTGCGTCCAGCCTGTGTATTGTGCAAACCACACAGCACTGATGCATTCTAGAGCATCTGGGTATAGCGACTTCCAAAAATATCATCAGCATATTACTGAATTTTTCATTTTACAAATGCAGACAAACACCCATAAGAAAAGTTAAATGTTTAACCAAGGAGACATAATTCAAAGACGGTTCTTTTTTTTTTTTTTTTTTTTTTCCCAAAGACAGCTCTTAACTCACTGCTCTGACCCTTTTTCCCCGGCTGACACTTAAGACATTTGAACATCAAGGGGAACGTTTTTGGTTTTGTTTTCTTTTTTACCTTAACCCATCCATTTCTTCCATATCATCCAGTGTGATCATCCCATCACCGAGAATGATGTACAAAAAGCCCTCAGGGCCAAAGAGCAGTTGCCCTCCTAGATGCTTTCTGTGGAGTTCTGCCACTTCAAGAAATACTCTGGCTGTCCTCAAATCAACTTGATGGGGATTTTTTCTACATTGGGGGAGGAAACAATACCATGATTGTTAAAGGTGTTTAGGTGAATCCACTAGAAGGTAAAAATGGTACACAAATTAGGGGAGTAAACACTTGGCATGTAAATAAGGAAACATGCTTGAAATGGAACTAATAAAAACTACTGAAAAATTACGTTATTTTCTAAGTTTCAGAAGTAGCACCTAAGCTGAAAGACAAGAGAGGAAAAGTGCCAAAGCTATCATTTTTCTCAATTCTCCTTAAGGACACATAGGGGGTTTTCAGCAAGGTGGAGATTGTGGTTTAATTACGGTCACCTTTGTTTCTAAAATAATTAGGAAGAGATAATGAGAAGATAAGATTGAAAAATATTTATGCCTCAGTGCATTGTAGTGAGTGATACCTGGATACTGTGTATTCCACAACTCGAAGAATGTGGTCATGAGGCCCAATAGCCCACCGTTCTTGGTTGGTGGTATAAGACACATACAGCTTTCCATTTTTCTTGTAATTGGGATGGAATGCGAGGCTTAGCAGACCTCTTTCATCTCCTCCCTGCAGTCAAATGAAAAACACAAAGAATTGTGAAGTTAATTATGTTCTTTATTGTGTTTCAACTGGAACCCCAAAAGAGTCTCTTTCTTTTCTTCTGGATAATCTTTGCCCAAACTCTTTTCTTCCTTGCCCACTGCACAAAAAAAGATCATGAAACATTTCACCCTGCGGAACTCTTTAAGGGTTAGAACAAGACAGTTGTCTTGTGTGGCTCTCTATGCACAAGACCCCTACACCACTTTTGTCCAGTGATTTGTGTATGCAATCTTGGGAAGCTAGGAGGACAAGTTTAACTGTTGTGATTCTTTGCTGGGTTACTAGGTTGCTTGTAGCTCATAGAAGACAAATAAAAAGGTTCATAATCAGCAGTCACTTCTAATCCAAGTCTCCCAAACCTAAAACACAGTGTGGGCTGCCAACTCCCACTGTCTTGGCAATATGTTTAGAAAACAGTTAAATTGCTTGTGTAATATGTAAACCTTTGTTTTACCCTGGAGGCATCTACATCACTTGTCACAACGATGGTGGTCTGTTCATCATAACTAGGTAATAAGCAGCCTTGGCCTATCTACAGAGGAAGGAGGTATTTTTACACGTATCCTTTCACAGCATCGAGCTTTTCTTTACAGAAGGATGGAGAAACGGGAGGGGAGCTAAACACCAGGGCTGGGACGGGGGTGGGAGAAATGCTAGAGAGGAAAGGGGACACTAGGAAATAAAAAAAAAAAAAAGATCCCAAACAACTTTCTTTGTTATTACATGAATGTCAAGGATTGTATACATTAGGCATGCCAAATGCTGTAACAATTAAAACATCATTATGTTCTTAAATAGAAAGGCATTTTATCTTTATTTTCCTGCTAATTCAGCTTGATGAAACTCAATATGGTCTTAGCATTTGCTTTATCCCACAAGTGGTCCCGGAATTTCTATAATGAAATTATAGTATCTGAAATTATCTAGATCAGAGACTTAAAAGTTCAAATTCTAGTAAGCCAGTGAGGGCTTTCTCTGTAGTCTGAGGCATTATCCAAACTGGTGAAGAATACGACACAGAAACTGAAATGAAGCAACTGCTAGGACATCACCTTACCCCCACTACTTCATTACCTGTCTCGTCTCCTGAGGCAAACAGCTAGAAGTTACCCCTTGGAAATCTTACAGGAGGGAAATAAGTCTCGAACACTACAACTTCTACACAAGTTTATGCTTGGTAATGGAAGCACTCTTTTGCTCTTCTCCCCCAGAAGTCCATGTGTTACTACCGAAGCACAGAGCTGTGTGTGGTGGGATTCTACATGGACTGAAGAATTTAAAGTTTTGGGCATGGGGCGGGGTGTAATGGATGGCTCAGCGGGCTGAGTGTCTGACCTCAGCTCAGGTCATGATCTAGTGGTTTGTGGGTTCGAGCCCCGCATCCAGCTCTGCACTGACAGCTCAGGGACTGGAGCCTGCCTTGGGTTCTGTCCTTCCCTCTCTCTCTGCCCCTCCCCCACTCATGCTCTGTCTCTCTCTTTCTGTCTCTCAAAAATAAACATTAAATTTTTTTAAGTTGTAGGTATAAAAGTTCACTTTTAATAACCATTGTTTGATTTATCTCTTGGATTAGAGAGAAACTGCTTTCTGAGAGATGCCGTCCAAAGTGGAAACACTTTTAAGAGTGTATAAATAAGAAAGTGGATGCAGGGGCGCCTGGGTGGCGCAGTCGGTTAAGCGTCCGACTTCAGCCAGGTAACGATCTCGCGGTCCGTGAGTTCGAGCCCCGCGTCAGGCTCTGGGCTGATGGCTCAGAGCCTGGAGCCTGTTTCCGATTCTGTGTCTCCCTCTCTCTCTCTGCCCCTCCCCCGTTCATGCTCTGTCTCTCTCTGTCCCAAAAATAAAGAAATGTTGAAAAAAAAAAAAGAAAGAAAGTGGATGCAAATATTCCAGAACTACCAAAGCATAATTGAAATGTCAAAAAAACCAACCTCTTCATTTGTAAGCTACAATATGCTTAATATTAATTTTAATCAAAACAATCTCATTGAAGGGGATGGATCTAATGACTGTGATGAATGAAAATGAGCCTCTATTTTTCAGATGATCTTAGAGTGATTTTTTTTCTTAGAGTGATTTTAGTATTGATTTGATGTTGCTTTTTTAAATAACTTCATTAAGCAAATATCTCTTCTTATGAGATGTTGAAAGCTGGGATGCATGACTAAGAATTGATTGTAGAAAAGCACATTTAAATCTCTTTGATGGATGTATAAGAAAGCTGAGGGGTGGGATTTAGTTTGTGATTAATTCCTCTTCCAAATGTATTTCACTTTAAAGCTGAAGTGCAGGGTAAGTACTTTATACCCACTTCACAAATATTTGCGTTCCACTATAAGGAGCTTTTGCTGAAAGCAGTTCTTTTATAGTTTTTAATCAAATCATCTGAGATACAATTTGAGTTGGATAGCAACATGGCTTAGAACTGTACTCACTGCTTTTCAGGAATTAGGAATGTAGAATTCATGCACTATAGAGAGATAGGGAAAGAGATTTAAACAAATCCACAAGTGACAGAAGGTAATTGTTCACTTTAGAGATTCACCTGTCACATAAATGAATGTGGGGGCATCACTGGCATTTGTTAAGGTGCCAAATATAGAAACGTAATGAGACATTTGAATTACAAGAAAATAAATGAAAAGAAAACAATTTTTTTAAAAGTCAGTAATTCTGAAGTTTTTAGGATGTAGGATTTACATTTGTTTAATTATATTACATATGATTTCATATTTTATTTAGTTATTTTTATTTTTTATTTTTTTTTTTATGTTTTTATTTATTTTTGAGACAGAGAGAGACAGAGCATGAGCAGGGGAGGGGCAGAGAGAGAGGGAGACACAGAATCTGAAACAGGCTCCAGGCTCTGAGCTGTCAGCAGAGCCTGACGCGGGGCTCAAACTCACGGACTGTAAGATCATGACCTGAGCCGAAGTCGGAAGCCCAACCGACCGAGCCACCCAGGTGCCCCTATGATTTCGTATTTTAAAGTCAGCTTCCAGGTAGTGATCTGGTTGGCTCTTAGACACGACTAATTACTCTTAAGTTATTTCAGAGAAATACTCTCTTAACGATACTGATAAAAAAATTTAATGTATGATATAAATATGCTAGTGTATCTCAAAATTAGCTTTGTAAACTATGTAGCAAAACATGGCTCCTAAATGTTCAGAGATTGGGAAGAGGGGGTGTATACCACCACCGTCAGGAGATTAAAGTATCGACAGGCCAAAATTTACCTTGAATTGGCCATCAGAATTAGATCATCTGTTTAAAGTATGTTACCGACACATCATGATTTTCCTCACAAATGCAAACCTATCTTTGAGGTCTGGGTGATTTTTCAAGATCTATATGGAGAAATATGTTGATTGGGCATGAAAGGTTTAATTTTGAGGCAGGGTCTATTTGAGGCCAAAAGGCCAGAAACACCACCGGACATGGGAGGCTTCAATGATAGTCTTCACCAGGAAACTGCCTATCCTGAGATCCTGAGCGCTGGAGCCTGGAGGCAGGGCAGACCCGCAGACCAGCTGTCCAGGCTCAGGGGGAAGCCCTTGTGTGCATGTTACTGACTCTCTTCTTACTACTCCCCATCTTCTCCTCTCAATTATGTGTCGCTTTATGGAATTAAAAATCATGCACTCCTTCCAGAAATGTCAAATTATCAAGTTGTTTGTAGTGAGCATCTGGGGAGAATGAACCTCTAGTGATTAGTTCAGCCAAACTGGCTAAAAAGGGAGAAAAACAATTAATAGAATGGCAAATGGAAGAGTCGCGGTCTAGGAAGCCATTCCTTTCAAAAACACATTGACTTCTAACCTTATACTTTTGAAAACATTCGCCAAGGTCCAAAATGCTTAAACTGACTCATGTGAAAAGCAGTGATTTATCAAAACGTTCACATTATACTTTGTACTTCATTATTAATACCGAATGCTTTATGTGCGCATTTCACTATGTGCGCACTTCCAGGAACATACACCACTGCTAGAATGCTAGAAATGGGCTCCGAGTAATTTATAAAGAACACTTCAGTGTTCCCTCTGTTTGCGTAATGCCCTTTTTTGTTTTGTTAAAGTTAACTGCAGGAAACTTTTCTTTTTTTTTTTTTTTTTTTGAACGTTTATTTATTTTTGGGACAGAGAGAGACAGAGCATGAACGGGGGAGGGGCAGAGAGAGAGGGAGACACAGAATCGGAAACAGCCTCCAGGCTCCGAGCCATCAGCCCAGAGCCCGACGCGGGGCTCGAACTCGCAGACTGCGAGATTGTGACCTGGCTGAAGTCGGACGCTTAACCGGCTACGCCACCCAGGCGCCCCTGCAGGAAACTTTTCATCCAAGCATCCTAGGCTACCATTGGGAACTTCCTTCCCCTTTGTTCAGCCTTCTCAAACTGCACCGACTTTGGGACAGCCCCTCACCAAGCACAGGTAGGTGAATGATTTGAAAATAACGTCCCTGTATACTTGAAAACCTTGAGATTGACCCATGTTTCAGAGTAAATCATAAAATTCTCCTAGAGACTTTAAATGAGTAGTCAACTGCCATTCTAGGTATCGTTCAGCTTTCAGAGCAATTTCACAGGGTCAACAGAAAAGAGACAAAAACTCCAGAGAGTATTGACGACTTTAATGTAAATACAAGATCAGATCTAGTCCTATAGTTTTGGGACACTCTTCCCTGATGAACACATCAAAGTTCTAACCAGTTGACTAATATTCCTCTTCTTTGAAGAAAAGGGAAGTATCTACTGGAAAAAGAAAGGTAATGATAAAATGATTATAATAGAAAGTACTTTTTCTTTTCTTTTGTTTAGAAAAAGTTTATTTTGGGGCGCCTGGGTGGCGCAGTCGGTTGAGCGTCCGACTTCAGCCAGGTCACGATCTCGCAGTGCGTGAGTTCGAGCCCCGCGTCAGGCTCTGGGCTGATGGCTCAGAGCCTGGAGCCTGTTTCCGATTCT